TCTCCCTACTACCTCCGTGGGCAGCAGAGCTTACAGCCCATCTGGCACTGGCTCACAGGGCCCACTCTGAGCTGGGGGAGATCAATAGTGACAAACACTGCACATAGCTCTTATATTAGAAGGATTAGATATGGCTGCAAACAGACAATCTACAGGGCCTGTTCATGTATGTTTACACTGTGCATGTGTTGATATGCGGCCCCTGTCATAGGAAGTTTAAGCATTTGATAGGCTGTAAATATCCAGACAGGGCTGCTTGTCTCCCACTTGAAATGTAATTTTTCCATTTGTGCTTTTTTCTGTTCTGTGAAGTTGAAGGTCAGAACCTGGCAACTGACAATGTGTCAGTGATCGAGGGGGAGATGGCCACCATCAGCTGCAGAGTGAAGAACAACGACGACTCCGTCATCCAGCTGCTCAACCCCAGCAGACAGACCATTTACTTCAAAGACGTTCGGCGTAAGTGCTGGCGCCTCAGATGCAGTGTTAGCAATATCTGACGTGGTGTCCTAAAATGCAAACACGTTCTTCTTGCACAAAAAGTGAGATAAATTTGTTTTCCCACTGCAAAACAATTGCACAAAGGTCTCATGGCCAAAGCTTTTTTTTTTTCTCCAAGTATGACTATCTGGGCTTGATCCTTTTTTACACCAAGAATATTTTTATAAGGATTTAACTGATTTTCTTTTACAGTCACAGTTTTAGTCATGTTCATATCTGTGATGAAAATATTTTTCTTACCAAGTTATCACCAAAGTTGTCCGGTGTAAGCATCCATTCATCATTTAACCTATATTTGGCTCAGTTGTGCACGCACACTTTATAAAATTGCAGCAAAACAGTAACTACAAGGTGAATGTTCTCTTTTTTTAAATTAACTGTTACTAGTGTAACTAGAGCTGAAACAACTGGTTCTCCATTTCCCTTATAATAAGCACCAAATTGCAAAGTATTCCTTGTAAATATCCTAATAATGTTCATCTAAATACAGGATAATTTTTATTTAATTATGAGGAAGGTTTTTAGAAAATTTGTGAGGAAATATAGGACCTGTAGAACAAATTATCTTGTTTAAAATGTTTAAAAAAAATACTCCAATTATGAATATGGATATACTGTATGTTTATTCTCAGAGTACTTGTGCTGGAGGATTCACGTTCCCTCATCACATGTGTTGAAGTTGCATAATATACCATGATTTACTTACAAACTAGCTGTGATGTCACTAAACTGTGCTCGCATGTACCGTAAAATGAGATTTCAGGTGAACACCAGGAAACCTCCCTCCTTCAGCAGGTGAATGTGAAAACAGCCTTCTGGTTCCAAACTCTGCTTATACATTATTCTGCACAGTGAAGCTCCAGGTGAAATAACAATAAGCTAAAAAGATTTTTGACTCAAGCTAATCTGTATATCTTTAGGTTTCAGCCTCGCAGTCTGACAAAACAAGACATTTGAATATGTAACACTGAGCTTTTCTTTCACGATTTCCTATCATATAGACAACCAACTAATTGATTGACTGAGAAAATAATCAGCAGCTGATCACTAATGAAAATATCGTTAGCTGCAGCCATAAACTTACATTTTTAAGTAAAAAAAATGCCACCATCATTGTTGCACCTCAACATGCAATTTGGGGTTGAATATTTCTCACATCACTTTGCACACACGTCTACACTATTCCGCTGCTGTCAGTTTGTTTTCTAAAGAATAACTGCTCCAACTGTTTTTTTTTTTTCCTGAGGTGTGAGTCTGTATGTCAGCATTAAATTTCACAGCAATCTCTCTGGTTTTGACATCACCACAAGATCAGCTCCAGCTTTGGCTTAGTCTTCTTGTGCAAACTTGATTCTATCTGTCCTTGACTTTTTGGCTCTTTTGCACAAGTCATTAAGCTCATAATGCAGCAAGATTAATATGAGATAATTAACAGTGCTACCATAATGGGAATACTTTTGTGTCCTTGTCACTTGCTGCATTAGATTTTACAATAATTTTTGAGATTAAGATATTGAACATTATGACTATGTGTGAGCATATGGGGTACTTCTACTTTGAACCGGGTTCTTGTCACTGTTTTTTTTTACTTGTTTGTATCTGGGATCTGAGCCAGGATTCAAGGTGAACGAGAAGCACCCTTCATTTCTGTCTGTATTGCATCCCAACTGTTATTTCACAAGTCTAGGTAGCGAGGCATGTGTTCCATTTTCTCACTTGCGAGCAGCATCACGGGGGTCTGAGTGCACATTCTTGTCATATTTGTACAAAATACGCAAAGCTGCCTGAGAACATAGCAAAAGAGAATGAATTGGTAAAAAGCACAAGTCAAGTTGTGCTCCACATCGTAAACATATTCACTCTGACTCCAAGGAGGACACAGAGATTGGGGATATTTAGAAAAACAGCACAAAATAATTAGATCTTACACAGTAATGATAAATATTAGCACTGTACTGTTGAGGAAATCTTTCCACAAGGTTAAAAAAGCCTTTTCCTCATCATTTTCTATTGAGCTGCTCCACGTGGGCTTGTGAACATGTCCAAATCAGTCCAGTGTCATTGTCAATTACAAAACACAACAGGTTTTGTTTATCTGCAGTGAGAATCTGAATATATGTCAGATTTCTGACAGGCGGTTAAAATGTCACTGGGCTGCCGCTGCTGCCGCTGCATGTTTGTTTTCCTCGTGATGGGGTCTAGTGAACCCCATGGCAGCACTATTCTAGGCTCTGTTCCTGAAGGACTGCTGGTTCTGTGGGGACCCCCCTCAGCCAGTGGCATTGTTAACTGTCAACGGGGCCGCTCGACACAGTAGCAGATCTTTGTATACAAGGAAGTAAACAGCAGTGACACAGAGACACACCGGGAGCTACAAGAACAGCAGCTACGAGATTTTTGACTGGAGGGAGACGCTACTGAACATTAGCTGCTCAAGCTAATCTGTATATCTTTAGGTTTCAGCCTCGCAGTCTGACAAAACAAGACATTTGAATATGTAACACTGAGCTTTTCTTTCACGATTTCCTATCATATAGACAACCAACTAATTGATTGACTGAGAAAATAATCAGCAGCTGATCACTAATGAAAATATCATTAGCTGCAGCCATAAACTTACATTTTTAAGTAAAAAAAATGCCACCATCATTGTTGCACCTCAACATGCAATTTGGGGTTGAATATTTCTCACATCACTTTGCACACACGTCTACACTATTCCGCTGCTGTCAGTTTGTTTTCTAAAGAATAACTGCTCCAACTGTTTTTTTTTTCCTGAGGTGTGAGTCTGTATGTCAGCATTAAATTTCACAGCAATCTCTCTGGTTTTGACATCACCACAAGATCAGCTCCAGCTTTGGCTTAGTCTTCTTGTGCAAACTTGATTCTATCTGTCCTTGACTTTTTAGCTCTTTTGCACAAGTCATTAAGCTCATAATGCAGCAAGATTAATATGAGATAATTAACAGTGCTACCATAATGGGAATACTTTTGTGTCCTTGTCACTTGCTGCATTAGATTTTACAATAATTTTTGAGATTAAGATATTGAGCATTATGACTATGTGTGAGCATATGGGGTACTTCTACTTTGAACCGGGTTCTTGTCACTGTTTTTTTTTACTTGTTTGTATCTGGGATCTGAGCCAGGATTCAAGGTGAACGAGAAGCACCCTTCATTTCTGTCTGTATTGCATCCCAACTGTTATTTCACAAGTCTAGGTAGCGAGGCATGTGTTCCATTTTCTCACTTGCGAGCAGCATCACGGGGGTCTGAGTGCACATTCTTGTCATATTTGTACAAAATACGCAAAGCTGCCTGAGAACATAGCAAAAGAGAATGAATTGGTAAAAAGCACAAGTCAAGTTGTGCTCCACATCGTAAACATATTCACTCTGACTCCAAGGAGGACACAGAGATTGGGGATATTTAGAAAAACAGCACAAAATAATTAGATCTTACACAGTAATGATAAATATTAGCACTGTACTGTTGAGGAAATCTTTCCACAAGGTTAAAAAAGCCTTTTCCTCATCATTTTCTATTGAGCTGCTCCACGTGGGCTTGTGAACATGTCCAAATCAGTCCAGTGTCATTGTCAATTACAAAACACAACAGGTTTTGTTTATCTGCAGTGAGAATCTGAATATATGTCAGATTTCTGACAGGCGGTTAAAATGTCACTGGGCTGCCGCTGCTGCCGCTGCATGTTTGTTTTCCTCGTGATGGGGTCTAGTGAACCCCATGGCAGCACTATTCTAGGCTCTGTTCCTGAAGGACTGCTGGTTCTGTGGGGACCCCCCTCAGCCAGTGGCATTGTTAACTGTCAACGGGGCCGCTCGACACAGTAGCAGATCTTTGTATACAAGGAAGTAAACAGCAGTGACACAGAGACACACCGGGAGCTACAAGAACAGCAGCTACAACTGAAGCGGCAGCCACAGAAACAGATCTGCACATAAATACCAAAATGATAACAGCTTTTACAGTACCAGCAAAGGCCAAATAAACAATTTCCATTGCAGCAAATAAAGATAAATTATGTCATAGGTATAGAGGCTGAGCCACTCTTGTTGGGATGAGCTATTTATTCTGCTAGATATATACAAAATGACATGCAATTCGGCAGAGTTGTCATCTGAAATGGGAAAAAGGGGCTTTTATCAACGAAGGTGGCCCTCTATGGATGGTGATGCAATATCACACCATTATTTATTCACTGCATCTTTCTTCAGTTTTCTGACTCTGTGTGAGGTTTAATGTTCAAAATGACTTTCATGTTAGCATCAAATACTCAATGCCTGTGGGATGCAAAGCTCCTGAAACCTGGTTTCAAGTCTTCACGGTTTCTTTATAACACTAATGACTAAATAAGCATCTATCAAAGTTAAACTCTGAGGTAGAGCTGTGTAGATATTATTTATTAGGAGGAGAAAATACAAGTGATCTGCTTCATTAGGACTGTGGAGGCGTGGATCAGATTTAATTGACAGTGGCCCTGCAATAGGAGAAAACAACCTCACAACATTTTGATTCAAAAGTTCGTATGTTGTTTCTTAAATATGAGCTCTGCCCATTTCAAACCAACAAGAAGAGCAAGGACAAAACTCAAATACAGAAATCTTTCAGGTAACATAAGCAAAACTGACAACAGTGTATTCATGTAGAAGCTGATTGTGAAAATACATTTTCAGGCCCTTTAAGTGCAAGTAAACAGCTGCCTCTTTCAATAAAAGGTACTTTAGGAAGAATGTCAGCTGTACAGCTTAAATTCATCTCACTCCTGTTGGTTACAATGGATTCCAATAGGAACAAGTTTAAACAGTGACAGGTTTCCATTCCTTTTTTCAACCGTTTGCTCAGCAGGTTAACCCTGCAATAACAATTTTTACCATTTTACCACAGTGGAGACAAACTGTGAGCACAACACTGACATACAGTTCCCTTTTAGACTCACTTGTTAGCAAACAGCGACATTATTATTCATTTGGAGTTGTGTTTTTGGCCACCGGATGAGTGGAAGTCAAGTATTCACACTGTTTTAGCTCTGTTGTGCTTTCCACACTGTCCTTAGGGAAATGTTTGGCTGCTTCATTAGCTGCTAAATCTCAACTCTGTTCACCAGCTAGGTGCTAGCTTATGCTCTGTGCACTGTGAGAGCAGTAAGATGAACCAAACAGTAAATGATGCGGGCCAAAAAACCAAAACAGAGCTGACAGCCACTACAAAGCTCCATAGAGCTGAGTGACACTCACATGCTAGGTCACATGTCTGTGTACAGTAAATATTTGTGACCTAGATTGATTTGATAATACAGTAGCTATATACAATAGCTTATACAAATATGGCTCAATAGATTTCTTTCATGGCATTTTTCAAGCTTTATGGAGGGTAACAGCACAAAACAAGCTGAAAGTATTCATTGAATAACTGACTAAAAGAACATCAATCAAACACAGCTTTACTAAGCCATTTATTATTTATATTGTTTTTGCAGCAAAAAAACTGCTCAACTTCACCGACATCAGCTGAGAGTATACTGACTACCTTTCTATTTTGGACCAAATAAACAAGTTGAATGTGTCTCGGGAATCTGATGGGCTTTTTTCACTGTTTTTTATTTTATTGACCTAAAAGACCAATCAAACATATCATCAGCATATTAATCACTAATAAAAACAATGGCCTCCTTGAAATATTGACATAATGTGCTGAAAACATACCTAATCACAGGTTAATAAATACTAGATGCTGGGCACCCTCCACACTCTTATGTAAGCAGTCAGCCAGTTATGAAACCAATTCGGCGTCTCTGATGTGAAGGGTTTCCCTCCCCAGCAGGTGCTGCGGCTCTCAAAGTGCATCAGTGTCATTGTTTTCCTTTGAGCAGAGACTTCCAAAGAGCTCTCAAATTACACCGGTGGATGAGGTTTCATGTTGACACTGCCCTGAGACCTTAGGTAATGATCACGATGCTAAGAATAAAGCCTGATGGGAATAACAAACTCCTGCGCTTTAAACAGGGGCTGAATTGAGGTCTTGTTAGCTCAACAGCAGCAGAGAGGACTTGACAAAAAAGCAGGTCAAAAGATCAAAAGGGCTCCTAATCAAATCAACCCAAACGGTTTATGTAAAGGGGAGCTCGGGGCTCAGGAGAAAACCCTGAGTGCTGGCTAACCTGGTTTGATGACTTTAAAAGAAAATTTAGGCCATCTTTACAGGCATTAGAATACAGATTCTTGGTGACTTTTGATTTTGATTTTCAGGCATCCAGCCCTCTCTGCCACTGTGCTATGATTTAATTCATTATGTATGTTTGAATGCCTCTTCTTTCTCTGGAATATGTGAGTTTGATGCATCCATCCATGACCAGCAGCAGCCCATTTTTAAGAGTTCCTAGCTTGTTAGGAGTCCTCATGAGCACTCTTCACACTTTCCTGACTCTACGAGTGCTCTATGGACTGTAAAGCTACTTTATAAATCAACTTGTATGAATCATTTTGAAACTCACTTTTCTTTTACTCAATTAAGGAGAAAGCCCACAAAAGGGCAGCACTCTCCCCCATTACCTTCCCCTCCTGTGGGTGCCTCATTTTCTCCTAGCATCTCCTTCATCTTCCTCCATCCCTGCTCTCATTCACACCCCTCTCCACTTCCCACTTCCCCCCTCTTTCTGCTTCCTTCTCACTCCGTGTCTCGCGTTTGTGTCCCTGTACTGTGTGTCTTCACCGTCTCTGTCTCACATATATCCCCATAGCTCTGAAGGACAGTCGGTTCCAGCTGGTGAATTTCTCTGACAGCGAACTGCGGGTGTCTCTGTCCAATGTGTCACTCTCCGATGAGGGACGCTATGTGTGCCAGCTCTACACAGATCCTCCTCAGGAAGCCTACGCAGACATCACTGTCCTGGGTAGGTGTGAGGGTGCACGCGTGAACCTCACACATGTATCACACCACCATCACACACATTACAGTTTTATTGTATTTGGTTTCTTTTTTAGATAGTGAATATAAAATAATAGTCATCTTTGATCCTGTTATCTTTAGCAACTGAAACAAAATGTCAGCCAATTAGGCTCTCGCAGCGCTCAACAGCATAACGAAAAGGAGCAGATGCTGAAACTGATGGCTCAGACCGCGTTGGTTTTGGCAGCTGTGTTGACTCTGTGAATCCCGGTGAATGTTGACTTGGCTGCTCCAAACGATTCCCTATTGAGAGTCAGCTGTGCCACACTTTGATGCTTTGGAGTGAAATTACTCTAGTTAAGCTTTATTATACATGCAGACATCCTGGGGGATTGAAAGGAATTAAAGGCACTTTAAAGTAATTACTCTGGTTGTACAATTGAAACCTAGCTGCAGTATTTCTGAACTAAGGGTTGCATTGAAGAGTCCTCGAAATAAACATCCCGCTGACTTTTTGCTTTCAAGTAACTGGAGTTCAGCAAGTTTGCTGTGATGACTAATGCAAGAGATGAGGGACAACTGTGCCTTATCCATGTTCTGTATAGGTTTCACACCCATGTGGCCACAGGTTATAATTACATATATTTACATAATTTTGGCATTTTGATTAACATTTTATAACAAGGGTGTGAAACACATGCTTAAGTAATGCATAACTAATGCATAACACATAATGATTTGATGCATGGATTAACAGCTGTGTCCTTTTGCTCACTGATAAGAAATGATTAAGCCTATGTGATTCTGTTTCTGATTACGTGGCAGACAACAGAAGGCTTTTTTAGAGAAAATCTCATAATTCTAAATTACAAGGCAATACCACATTACCCCCCTTTACCCACATCTAGCTATCAGTGGTGTAGAGAGTAGGAGCTGGAGCTGTGGGTATATGACCTACTATGTAGTTAAATATGAATTTGTAAATGTTGAAGCTAAAACTGGGTGCACACCAGCATACTGCAGGTGCAGACTCTTAGTCAGTTTATCCATTAATTTCTGTGATCAAATTAGCAGGAATCCAGTTACATAGAAAAGGACATTTCAGATCCATTAGTTTGATCAGTCTCTGAAAGCAGAAAAGTATTTATTTCCATGGAAATATGAGGTGGCTTTTCATCGAACTGGCTATAAGATATAAACACCTACACTTTGCTGCGTGAGCCACTGGCTCTTGTTGCATGTCTCATTTAATTCAAGCTTCAACACCAGCCAAGCAGGTGCCAGATGACAAGTCGGGGGAAAATGGACAGATACGTTGAAGCTAACAGACTCCTGAGCGTAAATATGACACGCGAAGTGTCATAGTTACTTTATCACTATTTCACACCTGAGATCACACTTTCTTACAAGTTACACTGACTTGTGTCCCATCAGGCAAAGTCATGCCATCATACTAATCTGGAAATTATTACTTAATGCATAGTACATTGATTAATGGTGAATCTGGGCAGATACTGTTCTGCTTTCAGAGACTGATCAAATCAAATTTGATAGCTTATGAATTAACATAACTGTAAGTGTGAGTTATCATACATTAAAACTCATAGTGATTTGATCATTTCTTTATGGTGACACACAGGAATACACGCGCTACATAAAGTAATCCATGTGTTTTGGGCCCTTACCTTTAAGCACTGTCAGATAAGGCACTGCCTTTAAGCACTGCCTAAACGTTGCAATGCTGGTGTCCTTCTTACCAGTGCCACCAGGCAGCCCGGTCATCGAGAGCCGTGATGATGTGGTCAGCGAGGGGAATGAGACGGAGCTCACCTGCACAGCCATGGGCAGCAAGCCACCTGCCTACATCAGATGGATGAAAGGGGATGAGGAACTGACAGGTCAGTGGAACAACAGTTTGCTTCACATGCTCCAGGCTTGTCCGCTTCCCTGCTGCCTGGTCACTAGAAGTGCTTCCCCTGAGAACAAAATGCAGTCCTCCTCTAAATCATTAATGTTTTGTGCTGATTATGTTGATTGACATGTATATAGGCTGCTGATGCGCCCATGGCTGGCATATACAGCTGAGGCAGGGCAGTGCATTCTTTCATTCACTCGCTGTCTTCCTTTTCCTGTTGCCATGTGTACCCTTGCTCAATACAGTGTGTTATGATCAAAATTTGCATTCACAGCTGCAGTCCAGGCTCATGTTATGTTTCTCATAAGGCTTACAAACTATTTGCCCTGAAGCTGCTTTCACACTAATTTTTAATTCAGAGATTCCTGTTTAGATTTAAAGTTGCTTAAACACTTGCTGTGAACATTTAGTTACACCTTGCCTGCTGATAGAAAGTGTTGTTAAGACGAGACAAAGCTTAATCTTTTATATTTGCACATTTCCCATGAATTGCAGTGCCTTTGGCCAGCTGCAAGCTGCTGCAGACAGGGGTATATAATATGGAGTGGTGAAAAATCCTGATCACTTCTCAGTTATGATTAGGGGTCATCAATTATTCACTGCACACTTATTGTGCAGCAAGGGGGTATATTCATTTTAGTCATATCGTATTTACACAGAGTGGATATCTCTGGGCTTGTTGTCAAATTATATATGTATTAGAATGGAGAGGATTCATTTGGCTTGTTGAGAGATGAAATATTTAGAGCGAATCTGAAGCTAAATGCCATCTGTGCCTCCAGTATTCCCTACAGGAGCTGAAGTCAGTTTATGTTTATGAGTTGTCAAGTGTTGTGTAAGGGAGGGAGGGACAACAGGACGGTTAGATCAGCAAAATGCCACTGACATGCTGTGCAGGGCTAATCCATAGTGGCAGCGGATACATAAAGACAGCCAGAGAGTCACGACCTCCTGTACCCCAGGAAAGACAAATCGCTACTCGTTGTGGAATTCATTAATTCCTTCCTTCATTCATTTGTTAGCTCCTGCACATATTGAGATTAAAAGGCGCACATCACACCGGTTTTATAAAGTTCCTGTGATCATGTTTATCTCAGACAAGAAAGCCATAATGGCAAGAAAGAACCCCAATGACTAATTTAAACATATTTCCAAACTGGCTGAATTGGTTTTGCAGCCATTTATCATGGTGGCAGGTACAGAACTGATGGTGTGAGAGAGACTCAACATGCAAAGTGATAGAAATGCTTGTTAGCATAAATGACAGCTGGAGTGTCATTTACAGTAAATATAGCAGAGCCCAGCATTCAGCTGCTGCTGCTAAAGTATGGGAGGAGGTTTGTTCCATCCAACAGCTGCATTGAAATGATGTTTTTCATCTCTTATACGTGATCATGTGAGACTGCATGCAGGTGGTTTAATCACATTTTTGAGCAGTTTTTAGATTTTGTATTGTTTTTTTTTAAATTCACTTTCAAATATTCGGTTTTGATTTCCTTAAAACTTCATCTTACTTTATGCTAAATGTTTCTTAAATGCAAATCGGCATTCGGGAAACAACTGTTTTGATTCCCAAACTGATTTATTATTCTTTTTAATACATTTTTATAGACATATTATTCTTTTAAAGTAAGCTCTATAAGAGCTTGAATGTAGGGTTTTAATTATCACCATTCATTTGTGATAAATTCAACTTTTTTTATTTACACATTACAAAGGCAGCTCTTATAATGTGATCAATTGCAGTTAATAGCTTTATTAAAAGTCATGTGTAAATGTTTTCCAGATTTGTTATACACCAGTGATAAGATAGAAAACTATTTTCCAGCCCTACTTCTTAAATTCATCAAGGTTTTCCACAAGCAGGCAAACCTAAAATTGATCCTGTTAAAGCTTTATACCTGAAGTCCAAACCATTAGTGAATTATTTATTAACTATTATTAAAGCCATTAATTACAGCATATGAAATTATATGAGTGTCTTCAGGTTAAAATTACACTCAAATTTAGAACATATAATTAAGATACACTTGTCTAAGGGCTCGAATAGTACCCAATGATGATGTATTGTGTGGGTCAAGTTTAGCATTTATACCGTCTTAATTTTAGCCTACTTTCATAATGGTAATACCAGTACTACATTACTGTCGAAGCAGTATTCAGACAGCTTGATCAGTGGCTGATGTGCCATGTGTTGGCAGACAGAGACTCGGCTAAGAAACTAACTGAAAGAAAATGTCACCCTGAGAAGAGGCTATGCTTGATTGCACTGGGATTGATCAGTGGCTGATGCTCACAAGAGCGTTTGATTTGACATCTCTGCTGCAGCACTCAAATCTCCTCTGCATTCATATTCGAATCCTTAGACAACCTGATCCACAGTTGTTTTCCTGATCTGGGTTTGGATGACACTGATAATTGACAAGTGTTGGTTGGCCCGTACAGTGATAATGACTCCGTTTCTATGAGTCTGAGCTTCAAAATTTGACTCTGAAAGCTCAGAGGTTTTCCAAGCCTATTTCATATTCTAATTATTTTGTAAGAAGCATCATGACCAAAAATAAGTGGTATTAGAAGTCAAATTAAGGACTTTTTTTGCATGACAGCACCAAGACAAGTGCCAGCTGTGCTATTTTCCTGACCTTGAAATGTGTTTTGCCTGTTCCTTTGGTGTTTTGCGTGGTACAGAGGTCAAAAAACAGGCACAACAACATGGGACCTTCATGCAGACAAGGGGCTACAAGACAGGACGGTGCTATTTTGTTAAAATTGTCATTTAGACTGCATAAAAACAGCAATGTGTTTTGCTCAAAATTGGCAGTGATGGCACTGGTTTCCAAAAACTAAATAAGCCACTGAGGGGAGATCACATCACATGAAACATAAGTCTAACCAAAGGTTAGTTTTCTTCCTACTTCACACTTTATTACTTCTTATTCTTACTTTTACAGAGTTCAGTGTAGCCTATAAAAGCAAATAAACATAATTAAACCTTATAAACCTTAAAAATGGTATCAGCACTAGCATAAATCAAGAAGCTGCATATGCACCTTTTCTGTCTTCAGTATACAGTGGTGGAAGTGCACAGATCAGAGAAGGCAGTAATGCCACACCTGTCAAACTCTGGTGACGTCACACTTTTAAACCCACCCCCACATGCACTTTTCCAGAGGTTTATTGTTTTATTGCGCATAATTACATTCTTCCAATCTAGTTCAAAAATCCTAATATTGTTCAAAAAAGACTAGTAATAATAATGTTATTCACCTAAAACACACCATCAATTATTCATACAGTGTTTTATGTTTCTACAAGGTTATTTAAATATTTGCATTTTCAGCCATGCCATTCTTCAACTTCTCTGCATTTCAGATCCAAATGTTGTATTTTTTACTCCACTAATATTTTATAACTTCAGTTACTAGTTAATTTTTAAAATATTTTTTTTGCAGAAGGGCACATGGCACATTACATTACTGGATTATAATTATTGATGTATTACTGTGTACATCACAGTAACAGTATAACGTTAACTATTTTATAATAACAGTATAATATGAAGTACTTTACATACTTTGGGGTAGCTTGTGAATTTCCCACCAGGGATTAATTAATTCTTATGACTGTAGTGCAGTGGTTAGTACTGTGCCCTCACAGCAAGAACATTCTGGGTTCGAGCCCTCACTGACCCCATGGCAGCGTGGGTTCTCTCCGGGTACTCCGGCTTCCTCCCACAGTCCAGAGACATGTAACTTAGGTTGAGTGTGTGCGGTTGTCTGCCTCTAAGTATCAGCCCTGTGATAGACTGGCAAGGGTGTACTCTGCCTTTTGCCCAATGTCAGCTGGGATTAGCTCCAGCCCTCCCCCATGGCCCTCTTCAGGAGGTAGAGTGGGTCGATTCCCGATTCCCGGGTTGTCCAGTCCACATGTCAAAGTGTCCTTGAGCAAGATGACACTGAACCTCCAGTCGCACTGAATGATATCACTGGTGCGTGAATGTGTGAATGTTTTGGAGTTTGAATGGCCAAATAGTGTGAAAGCAGTTTGAGTGTGCTGCAATGCATAGAAAAGCACTATATAAGTATAGTAAGACCATTTACAATATATGGATGTGAAATACAGAAAGTTTGAAGAATGGCATAGCTGAAAATGAAAATATTCAAGTAACTTTGAAGAAACATAAAACACTAGCAAAATAATTATTGGTGTGTTTTGGTTGAATGACATTATTTTTACTAGTCTCTTTTTTAACAGTATTAGCACTTTGAGCTTGATTTACATGTGAATCTGACTGAAACCTACTGTACCTAATGAGTGGCCTTTGAAACAAGTGGTTTTACCCACTTGATTCTGCCTCAGTGTTACCTAATATCAGAACCGTTATCATCAACATATCTAGTCTTATCACTGTGTCATTGGATTGGATTATTATCATATTTGGCAGACCCTTTCACTAAAGGCAGTGATCATCCGTCAAATTTTCTAATGTTTGTATGAGTCTGGATATGTACAGTAGCAACAGATAAAATTAGATGATGTGCAAACAGATAACTAGCATCAGCTAGCCTATAGCAGCCCCTCACTGTAGACTGCAGGTCCACTGGCAGCAAACTGGAATGATGCATCTACAACAAACTGGAAAATTGTTGCAAACCTCACATAAAAAGGCTGCTCCTGAGTGCTTTCCTTTCAATTTACTATGGTGTGAAGATGATCTGATTTAACACATGGTTTATGGGTGAAAGAGCTGACTGTGGATGCACTGTGTTCCCCTTCTTCTGGACAGCAAAACATCAAACTGTACTGCAGTTCACCTGAGTGAAGACACACAATTGCTGCAGTCAGGAAGACCATGTTTAGCCTTATCCTCATGGTTCAGTGTAAAAGATAAATGTCTAAGAGTATAAACAGCTGGTTAGCTGTCCAGAGATTAAAAAAACAAACAAGCATTACTATAAAACTTAAAGCTAGCTACCATTACACACCTTGCACACAACAGGTAGCCTGGCTAGATGTGCGTCATTCATTATGTTAATTACGGGGATTTTTAGACTATTCTGGTAATGCAAATTAGCTACTTACAGTTGTCATGACATGGGGCTATTTTGAAAATAGCCATTTATCAGGCTGCCACGTCTTCTTCTATGGTGTTAATTGGGGGCAAACATGGGGGCAGGAGAAAGTGTTCTTTCCTGTCCTCACGGTGGAGTTATATACAAAGTAGTGAGCATGTGATTTCACACACAGTCAAAGCATAAGGTGGAATACATTTCGTTGCTTTGAATGTCAATTAGATTTTCTCTATAAATTTGCCATACAGTATCTTGATACATATAGGTTTTGGAAAATAAACAAAGTAACACTGAGATAATGGTTTAGCCCTACCACATTTGCTTTATGCCACACTGAACTGATATTATTTTCCCATTTGATGAAGCTGAACTATACATCCTTTCCTGAGCAACTGCAGCACTGTAATTGGAATGAGACAATTACTGTGACTGGCTGAGAGGATAATGAATAATCACCACACCCCTGCAATCAGTCCTCCACTTTAGCCAAACACCCTCACTGACCACACAAATGTGACCTACGTCTTTGTGACCGCATTGTGACAACAGAGCTCTTAATGTAAGATTGCTGTTGCTAGTTAGCAAAGAAAAAGATGCCATTGTTACCAGTGATCACAGCACTCTGCTTCAATTAAAGATGTCTGGGATCATTTGCCGTGTGTCACGTTAATGGATGCAGTGCTTTTTAGAGTGAAGTCAAATCACCTAGATGTAGGCGGCTGTAGACAGCTTTCAGGGGGCAAAGAAATGTATAATATTAAATACTGTATATATTTTAGATCTACAGTGCCCTATATGTTTCACATTGTAATGCTTGTAATGTCTTTAAAGATATAAAAATATTTTACCAG